AAAGTTATTATTGGTAAAAATTACTAATAAATTATAATATTTGAGGGGTCATTCATTTAATGGATACCCACTTTTTTTCATTCCTAATTATAACTTAATCATCAATAAATTCATTATTAATGAATCATTAATATAGACTACTACTTTATTTATTAAAAATGTTTTGTGAATTCAATAAATTTATACATGGATGATTTTATTATATACGGTATATGAAAATGGGTTTAATCTAAAGTTATTTAATTTTTTAATCTAAACAATAAACAGTTAAAAATAAACTTAATAGACATCCATATGAAGCCAAATGTTTATAACAAAATTTCTAAAAACTTGTTTATGATTAAAAAACATTCAATTTTAATATAAACCAGTCAACTATACAGTACATTTGTATTAAAAACTTTTTTACTTATTAACACATTGAGAGTACAGGACTATGAGTGCATTTCTGACTACACTGTACTCAATGCACTCAAGCATTCAGTTTTCAATACGTATTTTGTAACACATTTTCATACTGTCTGTCACACTATTACACAGCATTTGTGCAGTTATTGTCAGTACTGTACGCACACTGTGTTTGCTATTGATTTTCATTATAAAACAGACATTTCACTATTAATACACATATTTCTGTAATTATATTTGAGTTTAAAATTGATTAGTAATTAATATTTAATTGTTTTAATCAAAGATAAGTTGTATTATCATCGCAATGGCTATTAAAAAGGTGGTTATATTCGGTGCGACCGGGAATACTGGCCTGGCTACTGTGCAAAGTGCACTGAATAAAGGTACTGGATATGCTAATTATACTTTATATATGATACTAATTTTAATATTCAAAGTTATAAAACTATTAGCTAGATAAATTAATCTAACTTAGCTAACTTAAGTGATCATACTACATTAAAATTACATAATTATTTGATTAAGTGTATTGTTTAAGAGCATGATAATTTAGTACATTATGTGGGCTGTATATGTAGCTATAAAAAATTAAAATAATTTATAAATAATTATCTAGTTGATTGTAGTACATCAAATTTAAAAATTTAAATAAAAAACTTCTAAAAATGTTTACATTTAATAAATGACGACTTGTTTACCCCTACATAAAGGCTACGAAGTGACGGCATTTGTGAGAGACCCTCAGAAACTACCGGCAAATATAAAGCCAACGCATACTGTGGTGGGAGACGCGACTAACCGGTCAGACGTGGACCGGGCCCTCCAGGGCCAGGAGGGGGTGATTGTGGTGTTGGGCACCCGTAACGACTTGAGCGCCACCACTGCCCTATCGGACGGCACCCGCAATATAGTCGAGTCGATGACTGCCCACAATATACAGCGCATTGCCTGTTGTCTGTCGTGTATGTCATCCTATTGTGGTTAACAGTAAACTAAACAAACTAGTGATACAGTGAACTCCCGATATAATTAACTTTTCATTTTAATATAAATATAATAAATTTTTATAGAATGGGTTTTTAATATTAGATTTTTAATATAGAAACTATGCTAGATTAGTTTTGTGTTAGAGGAAAGGGGAGAGAGTGATGCTTACATTATACCTATTTAATGTAACATGGATAATTTTTAGTTGTATTATTGAATACTAGTAATATTAACTAGCTTTCATTACAACAGTTTAAACACTCAATCATTATTTAAATTATTTTTAAATTTTATTATTAGTCACTTAAATTACTAAATAACTCTAAATATTTCAAATATTAATGTTATTCATGTTAACATCCCTTTCCCCGTAGCGTTTATATTCTGGGAACGGACTAAAATACCCGAACGTATACTACCCGTCCATACAGAGCACGAGAGAATGCTGGAGATATTGAAGGGCTCCGACAGGCAATGGATAGCCGTGTGTCCGCCACATATCGAAGGTATGCCTACTTTTTACCCATTAAAATAGACATTAAAACTGTGTGTCCCATACAGACAACCCCGCCCGCGGTGGGTATACCCTGAAACTAGACGGTGCCGTCGGTCGGAGTATAACTAAGTATGATTTGGGAGACATTCTGGTGGACAGTCTGACATCGGATGACAAAGTGGGACATCTGGTGGGCATGGGTTACGCCTAGACTACCATATGTCGACCCCTTTCAATTTACATACACTTTATATTTTTGTACTTTATTTTCAAAATTAAGTTAGTTTTTGATTAAAATTTATATTTTTATTAATCACATATTTCTGAATTGATTGCGAGTAAAAATTTAATGAATTTATTACTTAATTAATTAAAAATGATATAATTCAATGAGTTTATTACGTACAAATTATTGTATCTACTTGTTCACTTTAAATAATTTGATATAAAGAATTTTTAAAAAATTAAATTATGTATATTTTATTGTTAAGTTTTTTATTGCATTTTATTAACCCATATGTTGGTGCTACAAATCCTCTGAATAGTGATCAAGGTAATGATCATCCATTTCCCTCGCAGTGAGTTGGGACCACCTTTTAGTCCAATGTTAAATCCCATACCCTGGTCAGGTCGGCCCCAGTGAACATACATCGGCCGAACTTTTGAGTTTGGCTTGAGCTTTGTTTTATGCTATTATTTATGTTGACATCCCTTTCCCCATAGTGTTCAAATTCTGGGAACTGATTAAAACACCCGAATGTATACTACCCGTCCATACAAAGCACGAGTGAAAGCTGGAGATATTGAAGGGCTCCGACAGGCAATGGATACTATCCATTGGATGGTGCGCCTAAAATAGACATTAAAACTATATGTCCCATACAGACAACCCGGCCCGCGCTGGGTATACCCTGAAACTAGACAGTGCCGTCGGTCGAGTATAACTCATTATGATTTGGGAGACATTCTGGCGGACAGTCTGACATCGGATGACAAAGTGGGACATATGGTGGGCATGGGTTACACGTGAACTCTATGTGTCAAATACTTTTATACTTTTGATATTTATGGATGTAAATTGAATTCTGTTTATTATGTAACAAATTATATTCAATTTAAAATGTCATATGTTAACTTATGATATAAAACTTTGATTAATACTACAAAATCAATTTTAGTTTTATTTTTACAACTATTTTATTTAAAGCTAAGTGAATAAATGTTAACGATTAATTATAGTTTAAAAACAAATGTACAATATCGGGTGCATAAAACTATATTTTACAACATGATAGTAATTGTTGTATTTTACAAAAGTGATTAAATAAATTCAATGAAATAGTTGCCGACAAACATAGCGCTAAACCCCAACCACATGCCTATAAGACCCCCTAAATTGGACACAAACGATATGAACGTAATCTCCGGTACGTGTACTATAAGTTGGTCGGCATTGTGATTGTGCCTGATCAATACAGCGAGCGTATTATTATCACGGTGTGTACGTAGCCATTCCGTATTGCTTACATAAAATAACCTTTGCACACACTTAGGTGGGCAGACTGTTTCGCATTTGAATTGAACAAGCATTTTATTACGTTCGTAGCATTCTAACTTTTTCCATGAAGGTTTACATAAACGATCTTGGTAATTTTGATAAAAATATTTATCTCGTACAAAGTAACCTAACTTTACATCAATACATTGATCATATTGGCAAAGTTTACTTATGGCCTTGATGATACAATTCACTAGGCAGTCATTTCGCATGATAGTAGTGTATTTTGTACCAGTGTCATTTTTAATGCCCATACCATAATTGCGACAATTTGTCACATAATTAGGCGGTAATAGCCGGGTCTGTACTTCCGAGTACTCGATGTTAAAGGTTTGGTTGAGTTTCATACGAAACTCGACGTCCGTTATGTGAAAATTGGGCAAATCGTTGGGCGAGTGGACAGTTAGGGTGAAGTCGTAGACATGATTCGCCATTTCGATGGGAAACCACGACTCGTTTAATACGATTCGTAGCCATATTTGCGATGAATGTAATCTTAAATCCTTGTATAAGTTATCATTTGATAACTCATTGAAAAATGTGAGACATTTCTTCATTCGGAATTCTATGGGAATTAGAGAGAGAGAGAGAGAGAGAGAGAGAGAGAGAGAGAGAGAGAGAGAGAGAGAGAGAGAGAGAGAGAGAGAGAGAGAGAGAGAGAG